CCCCCACCCCCGGCAAAACAACTGGCTTCCATTACCCCTGACAGCTCCAGAGCAACAGCCCAGCCCCCGGCCCCAGCCTGGCTCTGTGCCGTTCCCTTTTATGGTGAAGATGAGGGAAAGCAAGAAGTGAGGGGGAGAACATTCTGACTGGGCAGAGGGTTGTGGAACCCCAGGGTGCCTCTGCCCTTGCCAGAGCCCCTAGAACGCCTACCCACTGCCACCTCTCTTCTTCGTCCTCAGCGACCCATTCTGCCCCAAACCCGCGTCCCCTCTTGCTTGTCCCAGCCCTTCCTCCACTCCCCCCTCCCTCACATCCAAGGGGGGTTTCCCACTTGGCCAAAGTCTCAAGGTTTGGGTTTTGATTCCCGGAGGGTCCGCCCCATTTCCGACGCCCGCCTCCGAGAGCGAGGTGGAGGGAGGCAGCCCGGGTAAGGCAGGCACTAGTGAGATCACAAGCATGATCGTCGAACGTGGTCGGATCAGGGGCAGAAATGTTGGCGCCGGATAGAGGAGCAATCGCAGCCCCAGCCCTGTCCCCATGCTGCACCGCCTCCTACCCCCATCCTCGCTGCCCGGCCGAGGGAGGGGACCCGGATGGCAGGACTCAAAGGAAGCACCTGGCTGGGCCGGGCCGGGATGCGAGGGGTGGGCAGCACCGCTGGGGGCCGGGGCAGGAAACGGGGTTCGGAACCTAGGGGTCAAGCCGAGTCCCATGGCCGGCCCGCCCTCCACCACACTCTCGCCCTAGTCCACTCCCCGGCTCCTAGGAGGCAGCCACAGCTTTGCTAACCACGTTCCGCGCCTCGCCAGCTGCTGCCAGCTGTGTGGTTCAGGCACAGAGGCGCGCGTCCGCGGGCCCGCACCACCTCGCCAGGGCTGGATGTCCCACCACAGCCCCGCCCAAGACCCCGCCCCTTGCGAGCCGGCCGCAGGAGCAGGCGAGACAGCAGGGCTAGAGAGGCCGTTCCGATGCAGTCGCACGTCCGGAAGTGCCTAGTTTGGAACTGAGGTGGCGCTACAAAGTTCCGGCCCAAGTCGTCTACCTCCTAGCTGTGCGTGGCGACCGTCGGAGTCGAGCAGGGCTGATCAGGGGCTAGGCACGCAGGCGAGCTCCCACAGGTCAGCCGGCCGGATGGCTGGTCGGTGGGGGCGAGGACCGGTCCTGGCGAAGGCGAGGAGTGCGCCGACCTGAGACTCAGTGCCTTCTTTTCTCCGCAGGATGATCACGGACGTGCAGCTCGCCATCTTCGCCAACATGCTGGGCGTGTCGCTCTTCTTGCTTGTCGTTCTCTATCACTATGTGGCCGTCAACAATCCCAAGAAGCAGGAATGAGAGTGGCGCTGTCTCCGCCCCAGGTAACGGTCCGGGGCGGTAGCGCCCAGCCCCGGAAGAGTTGAGTGGCGAGGCCGCGCCAGGGCCTGCAGGGTTCGAAACTTCAAATCAGAAAGTGTCGGAGAAGCAGGATACGCCCAGAACTGGGGCCCTTGATCCGCTCAGAGAAGGGAGTGCTTTGCCCCCACCCCCTTAAACTGCTTCACGCTAGAATGGGGGTGGGTTCCCCAGTGCCCCTAAGTTCCCATCTTGTGGTTCCCAGTGGGTATGGGTACAAGTTGCGGGTGTGGGTACAAGGAGGCAGTGAGGGTGTCACCAAGGCCGCCCACTAAAATAGCCCTCACTTTCCCGAGGTGGTTCAGGCCTTTATTTAGGCAGAATTTTTTGTGAGAAAGTGAAATGATGGCGAATTCTATTTCCATGTTCTGGGACAAGGGGCATTGATTTAGCGGTTGGCTTCTGTAGACCCAAGCCATAGAGAAGAAAGGATGGGGCGGGAGGGGGCCATGGGGATCAACCTTAAGTGTGAATCAAAATGTAAAAGGGAACAGGATGGATGAGAGTTGATTCCCAGAGGATTTCCCCAGAAAAAATGTGCAGCATTTTCCTTACCTCAGGTCTTTCCCCCTCTTTTCTAGGGTTCCAGGACATAGTCTGAGGCAAGATGGAGGGTGTGAGGGGCCTTCACACTTCACTTCATCCCTTCTACCCATCACAACATGCAAAGCAACTACACCTGGATTTTTCCAAACAACTTTTATTTCCTCAAAGTCTTCCTTAACCCTATGGAACACGAAGCTGCCACTGAATAGGGCCCAGTATAGGGGCTGCTTTATTTTTTACTCCCCCAATATAAAAATATAGATACATTTTTTGTGGTCCCAAAATCTTGTGCTTTGGAAGGAGGGGAGGGTGTCAGGTCCCTCCTTTGTCCTGTCAAGGTGATGTTCGCGATGCTTCAGACAGTGTGGCTGGCATTCCATGGAGTTATGGTTGTCACATGGAATCAGCAGCTGAGGGAGGGGACTAGCACATTTCTCACTGTGTTCTCCCATCTTGGGGCTATATCCTGGTCAAGGCATTATCAGACCCGGGGAGAAATAGTGAGTGGGGGGGATTTAGGGACAAAACAAACCTCAGGTTGGCCCAAGGGCCCCCTGCTGTAACTAATCCGGGACTGGGAGTCAGACAGACTACAGAAAATAGGAGAAAAGGCAGGGGCAGAGTGGGGCCGTGGGGGCCCAGCCTGAGGCAGCCTGCAACAGAAAAGAGAAAGGAATCAGGGTTGTGAAAACTCTGCCTCTCTTATGATCTGTTAGCCAGGGCTGGGAGGTCAGAGAGGTGAGGAGAGGAGATGGGTAGGGACAGGCAGGTTATTGCTGCACAGTGGTGTGATGCTAGAACCAGCCAGCTCCTAGGCCTTAGGCCCAAACTAGAAGTTGTTTTCTTGTCCCTTGGAGTGAAGACCAAGGCCATGGTGGGAAAAAAAATCAGTGACTGGATTCTTAAAAGTACATTTAGTCTTTGGGGGTCAAAGGGAGTAGGGAAAGAAGAAAATTATCTTGAATAGCCAAAGTGAGAGTGAGGGGATAGAAGAAATAAGGGGTGGGGAGAGGAACTGGACCCCGGTGCTCACCCTGGTGCAGCAGAGCAGGGTCCCGGCTCCAGCTTACTGCTCTCCCTGGTCCGGGGGATAGGGGATGTGGGGCCCGAAGAGCCTCTCATCCCTCTGCGAGTCGGCGGTGAGCCCCGGCCCAACCTGGGCCTAGCCTGTGTGGACAGGAGTGGGCTAAGAGGCTGGATTCTTCCATGAACTTGTTTGCTTCTAGAGTTTCCATGTATAAGAGTATAGTGTAGGAGTCAACACAAGTACTGGGTCTTTAAATTCCTAGGCACTGTCCCTAGCTGGGAACCCTGGTGGTGTAGTGGTTAAGAGTTTGTGTGCTAACCAAAAGGTCGGCAGTTTGAATCCACCAGCCGCTCCTTGGAAACCCTAGGGAGCAGCTCTGCTTGGTTCTGTAGGGTCGCTATAAGTCGGAATCAACTCAATGGCAATGGGGTTTTTTTTGGGGGTGGGGTGAGGGTTCCTAGCTGAGAGCGAGAGGCAAGATAATGACCAGAGAATTCCTGGATTCAGTCTGTCATTGTACATTCCGAGTCTTACTTAACTAGGGATGGCAAAAGGATCCAGCATTTAACCTCCATGGCTACCCATGGCCAAGGTCTGGCTGAGTAGAGGAGCACTGTGTGGAAAGACTGGAGTGTTGGCAGACCTCCATCACAGTCTTCTGTGTCTCAGCCCCTGCCAGAGCAGCTTAAACTTCACTCATCCAGTCAGCTTGTGTCTATATCCAACTTTAGCCACCTAGCATGGGGATCTGGACTGAATCAGAGTTGGTGACACAGCTGTTCCTAGGAGCAGCAACTAGATGTGTTACCTGGGGAATCCGGGACCCCTCCTGGCGGAAACTCTTCTCGGGCAGGTCTGGGCAGAAAGAGAGGAGAAGCTAAGGGCAGGGGCAGGGAAAGCCAAAGCTAGCAGGCTGAGGTTTGGGTGTATCTGATAGGGACATGGATTGGAAGCAAGCAATAGAGAGACCTGACTGATGGGGACAGCAGCACTGGACAGGCTCTCAGCATCTTCTAATTTCCCAGAGCAGGTGGGGAGAGGCTGTAAAGCAGTGCCAGGAATTTCCCCTCCCGCTACCCAGATGAACAGTGCCTTGTTGGGGTCTGCCAGAGTTGTTATTGCTGGGGACTGGGGAAGACCCAAAAATTACCTGCAATCGGGTCCTGATGCAGGGGGTCCGTGGTCCAGTCCCTAGCAGACCTTTCCCAATCACCATGACAGTCTCTGGCTTGTCCCCTGATGACAGGAGTGAGTTGCTACTCCCTAGAGAACAAAGGAAACTGGTCATCAGGGTAGGGGCAATGGAGAAGAGAGGCAACTTCTTTTAGATCAGGGTTTCTCAACTCTGGCACGATTGGCATTTGGGGCTGGATAATTCTTTGTTTGGGGGGAGGGTTGTCTTGTGCACTGTAGGGTGTTTAGCAGCATTCCTGGCCTGGTAGATGCCATCTTCCCTATCCCACCAAGCTTAATTACTTTTGTAAATTTAGAGACCTTAGGACATATCTTAAATGTTTAAGCATTTAAGGACCAAGCCAGCAGTACCCAAGGCTGGTGGACTGAGGGCTAACCACTGAGAGTTAACAGGCTGAAAGTAGCAGCCTCTGAGTGAGGTAGAAGATACTGGACTGGAGCCTTAGAAATCATTCTTATCCAGTCCTTTACACACCTAGATCTGTAACTTTAAAGGAGAATAAATGACCTAAGTTTTGTGTAGATGATAGTCACACATGACATTTGTGGTGATGAAGGGCGAAAGGCTTGTGCCTTTTATCATTCTTCAGTTTTGTCTAATGTTGCCCAGCTCTTTTAGTCAGGGAGCTTGGGTAAATAGCACTTTGCAGGTAGGAAAAGTCCTCAGGTTCCTCAACTGTGAAAATGAGGATTAAGTGACAAAGTGCTCAGAGCAGTGCCTGGCACATAGTAAATAACAAATGCTATTAGCTGCCATTGAGTTGGCCCCTGACTCATCGTGATCCTGTGCACAACAGAACAAAATGCTGCTTGGTCCTGTGCCATCCCATGATTGGTTACAGATGGAGGAGTTGTGATACACAGGATTTTCACTGGCTGATTTTCCAGTGTAGATTGCCAGGCCTTTCTTCCTGGTCCATCGTAGTCTGGAAGCTCTGCTGAAACCTGATCAGCATCATAGCAACACACAAGCCTTCTCTGATAGATGAGTGATGGCTGTGCAGGAGGTGCATCTGGCCAGGAATCCAACCCGGGTCTCCCATATGGAAAGTGAAAATTCTACCACTGAACCACCAATGCCCCCATGTTAGCTATTTTATTATACAAAATCCTTCATTAAATTCCAGCTTCCTGTACAAGGCCATGGGTGTTAGGGATTTAGGATAATCCAGGTTCATGACTAGGAGGATAACTGATGCCTCTGGTCTGGAATGGCCTGCATTAACATCAGGTCCAGGAGAAAGTCTAGGTCAGGTGGCAGCACGGCTGACAGTATTTCCTTAAGCCTACTCAGGAGCTTGGTCTAAGCACTAGGTGGTAGGGATGGGAGGATGCTGGTCACCCCAGATCTCAGTGACAGCGGGTACAGACCTGATATGCTGAGTGAGTTGGGCAGTAGGCAGGAGCCCAGGTTGCGTGAGGAGGCTGGGCCAGAACTAGTGGGAGTTGGGGATGGGACCAGGCTGCTTGGAGTAGAGCGATGGGTCAGTGGCTGCTGCCGCCGTCTCCTGTCCTGGCTTCGGGGCTCTGGGTGGAAGGGACACAAGCAGATAAAAGGGCAAGTAAGCAAGGCATAGTGAGATAGCCTTTACTGCCCAGCTGGCTCCCCTTGGTCAGAAGAAGCCTGTATTCAAGTTTGTCATCAGACCAGCTTCCCTCTTCTGAAGTAATTGAGAAGGGTAGAACCAAACCCATTGTCGCTGACTCACAGCGACCCTATAGGACAGGGTTTCCAAGGAGCACATGGTGGATCTGAACTGCTGACCTTTCGGTTAGCAGCCGAACTCTTAACCACTATGCCACCAGGGTTTCTGATGGGTAGAAGGACCTTGAATATTTATTGCAATTATCCAATTTTCAGCCATTCCTCATCCTACTTCATCTCTCTGTAACATTTCTTGAATTAACCAACCTACTCACCCATCAGTTCATTCTTCAGGCAAGAAATTATTGGGCTTAGCTTCTGAAAAGCTTTTCTAGGTTTTCTTCCCTCTAACTGCTCCTCTTCCAATTGCTATTCTGGTCCTTAAATGCCAGTGCTCCCCACCATTCTGTTCTTGGTCTAAACTCTCTCTCTTAGCCCTTTTCTTCTGAACTACAGTTCTAGTTGTCCCCTCGACATTACCTGGAAATCCCCCCAAGACCAAAAGAAAACTCATTCTCTCCTGCCCTTCCTTCTTTTGTTCTTACTTTAGTTAAAAATCTATATGCTAGAAACTTTATTCCATCTTTTGACTCCTCCTTTGCATTTAAATCTGTGTTTAATCAAATCCTGACTATCCTACCTCTGCAATTACTTGAATTCTTCCTTACTCCCTCCTACTATCGCCAGTGTCCAGATACATACATACAGGTCTTTATCTCTCACTCAGGCTTTTGAAAAGATTCCCTACTGGTCTCCCTAGCTCGAGTCTCTTCTCTTTTCCAAACCATCCTTCACATGGATGCCAGAAATTATTCTTCTAAAACAGAGGCCTAATCAGAAATCACTGGTTTAGGCAAGGGGGAGATACTGAAGGTCACTTAAAGGATAAAGTCTAAACCTTCTTGTATGGTATTCAAAGCTCTTCCTTCTGTGATCCCAATCTGCACATCCTTAGAAGGATGCTGGCTTCATACCCTCTATTACAGCCCCTACTGGTGCGGTTTCTTCTGGAATATCTGTCTCCTTTTTCATGCCCCATCTCACACGTCACCTGTGAAGCCTCCTTGACCATTACAGGTAGAATTGTTCTCTCCTTCTTACCATCATTGTTCTCTGTTCATATGGCTAGTAGTGGTTTATGCTTTCTGTCTCCTTAATTAAATAAGTTTGTACTTGTACTTATAATAGTGGCTGGCACGTAGTAATCACTCAATAAATGTTAGCTAATATTCTTATTAATGGAGCTTGAGTCTCTTGAAGGTAGGGACCTTATCTTCTCTAACACTATATATCCCAGTGCTTGTAGAAGACTGCCTGGAAAATTAGAGACCTTAATAAATGTTTTGTTTACTTGAACACACACACCTGCTATGGACCATAAGCTGGATCAATAATATCTGGATCTAAGGGGATATGGTTATTCTCTTTGAGGCAGTTCTCTCTGGTCCATTCCTGTGGCTAGAGCCTCATTCCTACAGGTCCTGAAGGGCGGGGTCCCATTGGGCAGCGAGACCTGCAGGTTTGGCTGGTCTTTATCACAGAAACGCAGCAGGTCAGAGAGCTGAATTCAGTGAAGCTTCCAGGATGTCATTTGACCCCTAATAAAACAACATGTGTTGGATGTGAAAAGCCTCTAACTTGGGAAGTAGGTGACAGTAATTTCATCGTGTCTAGCTGCACTGGACAATAGCAAGCAGTAATAAGTTCACTGCTGAGAAGTCCCAAACCAAATAACAAAAAAATTGACACCTATGTGAATAAGGGCTAGAAGACATGGAGAGACAATCTCAGGATGGAAGCTACGCTAGCTATGAGGAGTTGTGTTGAGATGTTGGATACCAAGTAAGAGTCTAAGAGATGGTCAAGAGTCAAAAACAACCAGTGATAGTTGGGGCATGCATGCCAACAAGACTACAGAAGTCAGAGCCTCATGGCCACAGTCAAATAACCTGAAACATTACCTACCACCAGTGACTCAGATGCTCTAGGACCCAGACCTGGGCAATTCTGTGGTTAAAACAGGTGTCAAGATGACATCCAGGTGACAGTGCAAAGTAGGCAGAAATAATGAATTCAATGGAGGGGGAAATACAGGGTTTGTAGATGATTTGAGAAATAGCTACATACAGAGGCATGTTAAGGGATGAACCCGTACCCAAGCCCTCACCCAGGAAAAGGTAAGAAAATGAGGTCAAGCAACAAAGTGAGTGGTGGAGGAACAAATCAGAAAAGGACAGTGAGAATGGTTACACAACTCGAAGAATGTAATCAATGTCACTGAATTGTACATGTAGAAATGGTTGAATTGCTGTATGTTTTGATGTGTATATTCTCAACAGCAACAAAATTAAAAAAAAAGTGGGTAAGAGCCATTGGGACATTTGTAGGTTCTAGTAAGAAAGTGAGCAACATTTGAGAAGCAAAGCAGGCAAACTGTAAAAAATGTCAATGTGGAACATAGTAATAAAGGATCATGATAAAGATACTAAGAGTACTATTGAGAGTTTTAGGATAGGAGGCATTGTCTGGTTGAGGAGAAAGGCCTGCCTGCTCTGAAAGTAGAAGGCATTTCAAGATGGCATTTCAGTCATCACTTAAAGACTGCCTTAAGACCCTGGTAGGAGCCCTGGTGGTGCAGTGGTTAAGCCCTTGGCTGCTACCCGAAAGGTTGGCAGTTTGAACCATCAGCCGCTCTGCAGGAGAAAGATGTGGCAGTCTGCTTTTGTAAAGAATTCAGCCTTGGAAACCCTACGGGCAGTTCTCCTCTGTTTTGCAAGGTCGCTATGAGTTGGAATCGACTCGACAGCAATGGGTTTTTGGGTTTTAAGATCCTGGAGTAGGCCTGTAGATTGGTAAATGCGAGCAAACAGCCTAGTTTCTTGTGTTTTGACTTTTGGTTCCTGGTATAATCCAGGCCTACTCCATCCCCATTTGAGAAAAGAAGTAAAGGAAGGAGCCCCAACTATATTTCTTGGTTCTGAGGTTACAGAAACAGCAGTTTAAGGTGAAGCACAGAGTGGTATGTGACCAGCTCGGCTTCCAGAAGCTGTAAGATGATACCTTATGGTAATCAGCTATCAGTTCCATTTAGGGGTGGCAAGATAGTCCTGGGGCCAAGGTCTGAGAGGTCATCAGAGCCAGACTGACCTCACTGTTATATGAGTTAGAAAGGATGTTCTAAGGCTTCGCAGTTTAGAAGAGCAGTTATTTGACTTGTGCCTAGGTCCTGCATCATCCCACCTAAGCTGTTCCTACATGTAGCACCCCAGATATTACTGCATTCTTATATTACAATGAGAACGGGATCAGTGAACAACCATCTGATTCATGCCCTCTGAGGAATGGAAAGGTGAGACAAGTATTCATTCCGCTCTCAACTTCTTGCCTTTCATTCATTCATTCAACAAATATTTACTGATCACTTAGAAAAGGCCAGGCACAGTTCTAGGTACTAAGGGAATAAACAGGTGTGTAAGGACACATTTCCTGCCATCAAGTAAGTTTTAATCAGGTATTTAATAGGAAATTTTTGTTTGTAGTGGTAAAAGTCCTGCCAACTCACCTCCCAAAGGAACCTTCACTCACCATTGGACTTTAGCTGATCTACCACAAGTTGCCTGTCAGTTGAGACAAGGGATTACAGTGGCTAAAAGAGAGTTCTAGTAACCTCAGGGTTCCATGACAGAACTGGGAGGGATAACGTGCCAGTGACAGCCTGAACAGCTGAGGGGTCCTGCTTTTCTACTCAAGTACTTTGACTTTTATACCAATACTCAGCTTGGTAGGCTGGAGGGCCAGGGAGTGTCAGTTACTGAGGTTGATGCTTGAACCCAGGGTACAAAATTTAAGGAGACGTTTGCACAACCCTGACGGTGAGTGCCTTAAATTTTGCGTCCTAGGCACCTCACTTGCCTCATCCTGGTCCAGGCCTGCTTGAATCTACAGATAACCAACAGAAAGAGAAGCTAGCTTACCTATCCCTCCTTGCCCCAGCAGTCTTTTTTAGCCTGTTTGCATCTGGTTTCGCACCGGTATCTTGTGTGCTTTAGACCTCCTTCATTCTATCACTGTATTCGCTATTCCTCAGGGTCTTCCTCTACAGCCACAGCAGCTGCTGGGAGTATGGTCTGCACTTCCAAGCCAGGTGGATGGGAACATGATTGTGGGTCTGGGAATGTGGGGTTTAGAACCTGTTTCGCAGCTGGGGAGAATTAGATAGAGAACACCCTGGCATTAAGGTAACGGGGTGCTGGGAGTCCGGGCTTACTCAAGAGGGTCTTCCAGACTCCTGTCCCAGAAACATTCCTCTTCGCCCCATTGGCCTTCTAAAATGTCATCTGGGGACAGAATCTGTCAGACTTGTTCCCTGAACCTCTGCCTAATTTATGCTTCTGGTTTGGCTGCTTAGATCTTTTCTGAAATTTTCTGGATAGCCCAATCCCATGTTTGGTTCTAGCCTATAAGGGATGACCATCATTAAATGTAGTTAATATGTGATACAATTTTTATAGTTAGTGGGAATTTTTTTATAAATAAATTCACAAATTAAAAAAATCCTTTGTCAAATCACAATCCCAGTTTTCAGTTTGGAAAATATACTGCTTTACAGTTAGATTTCTGAGGCATGGGGGATCATGTTCTTCCTATTTTGGAAGACAAAGTATGCTTACATGTGGCAGGGGCCTAACTACCTAATGTGTGGAACCAGGAAATGTCACAAAGCTACAGCATAGGACAGATCATGTTGGACAAATAAAGAAGTTTCTTCAACGGTTGCTTACCAAGATACCAAGTTCAACTGCCACACTCTGCATTGCAGGCCCTTATCCATGCCAAGGCCAGTCTCCCATCCTAGAGACTTTAAGGGATGAACCAGCAAAAACTGTAGCACCAGGAAATGCCCACAACATAGGAGTTAAGATTCCTGTGATGTGACCTTTCAACTCCTCATAATATTGCTTGTTGCTATTATTAGTAACCCTCTAGACCCCTTGACTTTAGAGACATAGTTTTCTAGTTCTTACAAATATTTATGCAAGCCATGGTGTGTCTCTGGACTCATGTCAGGGGCCTCTCTTTTTCTACTTCTAAGCTCATTCACCTGAGAGAACATACCTGGGACTTGGTTTTACCTGGCACCTGTATGTGGATGACCCTAGATCTCCAAACCTGACATCTCAGATAGACCCTAGCACCCAAGCATGCCTAAAATAAGTAACTTGTCACTTTTTCTTCCAACAATGTCTTAACGCCAACATGACTTCCTTCAGCTTGTAGCCTTAAAGCCCTGTTAGTTCCTCTCTCTTCCACCATTACTGAGTCCTGCCACTTTTATTTCTAATACTTAAGTTTATCTCTCCTTTCTAGACCCTGGTACAGGCACTAACCATCTCATGCATAAACTACTGCAAGGATCCCACCTCTCCCGTCCTGTCCAATATATACAGTTCATAGACAGCTCTCTTCCGTAAGTCTTTTGCTCTCATCATTCTCAGAAGCACACAATCGATGCCATATGTCTCAGTTAATTCATAATCTTTGTTTTCAAGACATTTTAACTTCTTCCTCCCACTTCTTTTCATCTGATTGCCTGGAAGGCCTTGACCCTTTGAGCCAGCAAGGTATACCTACTTTCTGTCTTATCTACCCAACAGCTCTATTCCTGTTCCTGGCTGTCATTTCTCATCTCTGGAATGTTTTTGTCAAACCATATACCACCCATTCTTTAAAACTGTTTCTCAGCTGGATATTCTTTGGCTAACTACTCTTGTGTTTACCACGATAGCTCCCCAAGTCCCCTGTATGTTTTTAATGTGTATGTGCTTTTATATTGTATTCACTGTCCTGTTTCCTATTAAGTTTCAAGTCAATCAACAAGGAATTATTTAGGACTGACCATGCAAATAGTTATTTGAGGAAGTAACAGAGAAACAGAGTATATGTCCCTCACTCCAGGAGTTTAACACAGTGCTCTCCTTTGGGAAGCAGGGCAAGGAGGATGTCAATACTGAGTAAAAACTGCCTAGAATCCTCTAGTGAGGACCTATGTAAAAGCTCTTTACTATTTCCCCTTTGTAGTCAAGGAAAAAAAATGTATGATGTTGATATTCCTTCCTAGGAACTAAGAGTTAAGAACCACAAAAAAAGAAAGAAAAAAACTTTATTCAGATTTAAGAATTTAAGATGGGGTAAGATGAGGAAACAGATATACTGGAGCATGAAAACACATAACTTAGAGTGACTGCCACTTGACAGCTGTTGCAATCTGGGACAAGTCATTCTTAAACAGCCTCAGTTTCCTCAACAGGAAAATGGAAATACCATTCACCCCATAGGATTTTCATGAAGATTAAATGAAATTATATATATGATACTGTTTTCACTGTTAAATGCTATTCAAATATAAGGCATTATTATTACTTTAATACCCTCCTTCAAAGACAGTGAACAGAAGTGTCTTCCCAATGAAAAACGAATCTCAAAGAATGGGGTTTGGAATATAAGCAGAGATAATCAGACTGGATTACCAGGGATAGAACATCTTAGTGGTCATAGCTGGTAAGGACCTTTGCTCTCTACTGTGTGACTGCTCTAACTAGTGCAGTTGGATTTCCATAGACTTTAACCCAGTGCATATTTCAGGTCTACCAAAAGCTAGGTTGCAAGCTGAGTAGCCAGGGAAATGCTAACAAGGATGACTGCACTTTGAAGAGCAGCAAAGCTCTTAGCTCCAGCTTACAAGTCTCCACACTATGGCAAGATTTCTGTAGTCCAGAAGCCACATACAGTATTGATTACTGGTCTAGTGTATTTCCACAAATGGCACTACCGCAATCTCTCTCCCCACCACAGTCCAGGTTACTTCCATGGAATGGCCCTGTAGTTACTTCCTCTTCTTTTTCCCAAGTCTCATCCATTTCTGGTATAAATTTTGACCCAGAATCTCATCTTATGGCAGGATCTTATCAAGCAAAACCTAGGGGTGCTGATGCAGAGATGAATAATTGTGGCCACTGACGGAGAGTGCGAGACCTCTGCTTTATAAGCCTCTAACAGAAGCTGTCTGTAGTTGTTCCATTTTTCTTTGGAAGAGTTGGAATCCTTCTGATAACACTTTCTGAATAGGCTCTGAAGAAAGAATCAATTTCAGCCCATAGTGAGCCTGGATAGGATTCTCCATCATTCTACAGTGCTGCCATTTGGCTTCTGAGGACATGTCTTTATACTGCCCCCAACAAGCTGTATTGACACTGTCCTTGATGTGGAGGTGCTATGTCTCAGTGTTTAGTACTGCTTCAGTTAGTGTTTTGTTTTTGGTAACTCCCCTGGCTGCCAGCATGTGCTGAAGCCCAGACGCCTAGGACTTTCACCTATGGCCACCCAGAGTACCAGTCTAGAGCTCATGCCGCAGGGAACATCAAGGTCGCAGGAGAGGTTGCAGATTCTGCCGTAAACTAATTTTATTGATTCACCCCTTTGGCCCAGCCCAGGTGTATCTTCAAGCTCTCACTTCCCCCAGCAAAACCCCAAACAACTGAACACCTGTTGCAGGGGCTCCCAGACTGGCTTACCTCTGACGGGGCCCAGCACCCGGTGGCTGACCTTTTGGGTGCTAGAGCCCAGGCCTGGCAGCCCTGCAGGCCGAGTGCCATGAAAAGGAAAGCTGGGGGAGTTCTTCATCTGTGGAGAATTTTGTTGGCTGCTGCTGCTTCCACCAGCACTTGTGCCAGTGCTAAAGCTCCGTGCCCGGCTCAAGGTGTTTTCAGAGCAGGAAACAGGCAGTCCACTGCAAAGAAGCAGACACCAGTTAACCCTGGCCAGGGAGAGTACATTGTCCTCCCAGGGTCTCATGCTCAGTAAAGATTCACCTCAGGGGAAAAAGGCATAGGCACCCATTCCACGGGAAAAGGGAGGAATTCATGTCCAAGGGTGAGGTATCTAACCTGGGGCATACCAGCTGATCTCAGAATGCCTGAGAGCCCTGTTAACACACACATGCTCCTACAGATACTAAGAACAATAAGCGCTATCCCTGAGCAATTTTATTTCCCAGTGTATCTCCTCCTCATTGCCCTGGCCCTTAAACTCCCTTCTTTCAGTTGTTTGCAACCTCTGGAAACTGCCATCACCCCCATCACAATAACTTTGATTTTGTACAGGGCTCTGGAGCAGGGAGTTCCCTAGCCTGGTTTTCAGATCTCTAGGAAATATGTCTAGGTAACTCCAGGTGAAAGGGAGGAGGATCCCCTTCCCAAAAAATGAGCTAATTTTACTAAGAGAGCTTCAAACCAGTTCAAATTGGTAGTCATGGCTGACCAAGGGAAGCTGGAACAGACCCTAATTTTTACAACTTGGGTGATCTGGAATGATAACCAGAACAGGAAAAATTACAAGTCAAAACCGTGGAATGGGAGACTTGGAAAAGGCGTAGTGAGCCCTTTCAGGAGCCTGATGGGTTAGACTGGATCGTTCGCAGGACTGTGGAGAGCGACACATATTCAAAGTGGTGTGGTAGGCTGCCATCTTTGAACAGGGCACCACTGTTTCTGACTCTGCTCAAAATCCCACAGGCAAGAGAGTTGGTTGCTATTCAACCCATACACTGCCCATGTTTTCTAAGAGGGAGATTAGGTTTCTAGCAGGGCTTCGACCCATAATTTTTCCTGTGCTGGTTACTGTTCAGTTCACCCAAATTTTAAAAATTCAGGTCTCTTCATAAAACCACATGCGACCAATGAGGCACAGCAGTCCAGGGACAAGAGCCAGAAGGCAGAAGGAGACAGGAAAGCTGGTGATAGGGAACCCAAGCTTGAGTAAGGATAGTGTTGATGTGTTGTGAGGTCGTTAACCATTGTTATAGGGCAACATGTGTACCAACTGTTAAATGAGGAACTATTTTGTTCTGTAAGCCTTCATCTAAAGTAAGAATAGCAGCACAATTGGAAGAGCGTAGTCAATGTCACTGAACTGTGCATGTAGAAATTTCTGAAATGGTGTTATCTTTGGCTATATTTTCACCAAAAAAAAAAAGGTCGAGAAGGGAGAGAGTTGACATGTTGTGGGGTTGTTAACCATTGTCATAAAACAATACGTGTACTACTGTTTCATGAGAAACTATTTGTTCTGTAAACCTTCACCTGAAGTACAATAAAAAAAATTAAAAAAAAATTCAGGTCTCTTCCAGTTTCACTTTCTCAGCCATGAGTGAACTGGGAAGAACCAGTTCGAAGCCCTGCTTACTAATTTTAATTTACCCTGAAAATATGTACCATGTGGTACTTTTAGGAGGAGGAAGGGAATAAAAATCCCTTGGCATACCTAACTCTAGAGCCCTGTTCCACTTCCATGCCTTTTTTCCCTTCCATACTGCTGGTCTTACTTGTTACTTTTGGGTGGAGTTCGAGAGCCTCTCTTCTTGTTGACACCCACATTCACAGTGCTGCTCAGGCCTCGGCTGTTGCGCACATGTTTTAGCATCCAGGCCCGTAGGTTAGTGAGGCTGCTGTGCTCTGACAGCACGATTCGAGGCCACGGATTACATTCTGCCATGTCCAGAGCTGCAATGGCCATAGCTCGTCCCACCTGTGGGGAGTCCAGGTTGGCTTAGCATCTTGGTCTTCCAGTCCAGGCTGCTGTGTTGGGGTGAGGTGCACAGCACAGTGGAGGGGAAGGAGGCAGGTCTAAAATTTGCTCAATAGTGTACGCTAACTTTTGTGACCCAGGCTGTTTATCCTAAGGTGGGTTTAGAGCTGCTTCCTAAACCATTAACCATTTTAGGGCCCTCATCCATTACGAGCAAGGTCAGGTGTACTTTCTGGCTGGCAACACGAAGGAATTCTCCTAGCAGGAGTTTGGGTCTTTTCTGTAACCCAAGCTCTTCCTATTCCTCTTAGTGTGCCCTAGGACACCAAGGTCATCAAGACCACTGTAGAGAGGGTGCTTTCAAGCCCAGAAGTGAATAAGCCCAACAGAATGAGAAGCACAAGCTTAGGGGTAAAGAATCTCTGACTCAGATGTAATAGGGGATTCTCTGTGGCATGAGGTCAGAAATAGTGCCTGTGCATCCTCTCAATATCATGATAGAGGCACGCTCCTACTAAGGAAAATAACCAGAATGGTTAGACAGCAATAGGGGTGAGCATCTCTTCAGAGGACCTTAGGCAGTAGAAGTAAAGGCCTCTCCAGACTTTAAGGTTCCCCCTTTTCCCACTTATCCCATATGTTCATACCTGCTCAAATAATTCCACAGTATATCTGGAGGGGAAAGCCGGCGGGGGAGGGGGGCTGGCACGCCCATTGTCATGGCAGGCAGCAGGGATGCTGTTTACTGAGCGTCCAGTGTTGTAGTTGCATTCGAGTGTATAGCTAAGACACAGAGACCTTTATCAGTGTCCCGCCTGAAGAGACATCAGGATAGAACCATGGGGAACAGCCTAGATGATCTAAGAAGGTAATCACTTGGAAAAAAGTGAATACAAATGGGAAATGTTAATCCCCAACAAGTAGGAGCTGTTCTCAGCACTATACCACATACCTAGGAAGTCCCAAGAAGGGAGAGTCCCAGACTAAAGACAATGATGTTGATGTTGAGCCTCTCTTTTGGGAAGACTTGGGCTGTCCCCTGCCCCTCAAGTATCCTAGACTGGGTATTGTTTTCCTTAGGGAAGCTATTTCATCAACTCCATCCTAGTTTCCACCCCAACCTGTGGATTATCCCTGAGGCTTTGTAGATGGCAACACGGCCGCTGCCCTCCTTAGACTGGCCATCTCTACGGTCTCGGGCATACATGTTCTTCTCTGAGAAATTGCAGCCCTGGAAGTCGAAGTGAGCTGAATTCAAGGAGATGAGCTTTGGATACAGCATGTTTTCTACCTGTTTTAGGGGAGAAAGGAAACTCAGAAGGAGACAGAGAAAGAAAGAAGGGACAAAAGCAAGAAAGAGGAGGCAAGCATTGGGCCAAGTGACTCAATACACAACAGATACCATCACAACCATCATCAACAATCAACATTTCTTGAATTCTCACTGAATATCTGACATTATTTCTACATTGTGGGAAGGTCCAGGTCTCTTTTTAAGCTCAGTGATACAAAAATTTTCTTCTCCTCTGGATTCCCAAACTCTAGGAAAGACTACGGTTGCTGACAGCTTAGCTCATAATATAATAACTAAGACATAAGGCCCCAATGCCACCCCTTCTTGGCCCTTCGAAGCTCATTCAAAAGTAATCTACCTCTTGCAGCACAGGCCTTCCTGCTAGATGGCTACCTTCCCTTTCTGCTCATGGCCTAACCCTTATCTCCTAACCTGCAATACTCCCATACTCACAAGACGTTCTTAGGATTCCTACCTGGGTGCTCTCATCACTAAAGCTGTTCCCATACATGAAGCAGCCCCTTTTGGAAGCATGTCCATGCAGGTCCACATAGTAAGCAACACCACTCTCCTTGGGGGGGATGGTCTCCGGCGCTGGTTCCTCAACCTCAGTAGACTGCTGTGGTATAATCCACATACTACTGGGCTTCTGTTCTGCTATCTCTGTCTGTTTCCAGGTCTCAGGGTTCTCCCCATCAAGGTGAGCTTCATTTTGGAGATTGTTGGCTTTCTCAAGGTCAGAAAGGGGAGCATCAGGAGAGAGATGGGGACTGTGCTGGTGCTCTGAGAGACTCTGGGAGTTCAGACGGGAGTGCACATGGTGGTAGAGCAGCACAGCTTTAGCCCCATAGATGGCTGGGTGCAGGACTGCATCAGGCTTCAGGTACTGACGGTTCAGGTTCACTCCACGTGAGTCCGTGCTGTAGGAAAACAAGGAATGAAGCAGGGTCTAGAGAACTGGGCCAGCGAAGGAGACACTAGAGTAGATGAAAAGAAGACTGTGGGAGACTGGCTTATAAAATGAGGCTGAAGTTGCGTTAGGAAAGAAAGAACTGAAGACAGGCCCCTTCCTTGTCTGCTATCACCTCCACCACAGAAAGCTAAGGATTGCTCCCTCTATCCAGATGGACCTGCAGTTATTCCACTTCTGTTCCATCCAGGGAGTACCCTTTGATGGGATCACATTCCTTCTCAGGTCACTAAGGATAGATGGGCTTGCCCTTGTTAGGGTGCGAGAAAATTGGGAATACAGGAGAACTTAGATGATAAGGTTGATAGTATTTCATTGACGTGCAGGGCATGAGGGGGACTGGGGATAATCCAGACAGGTTGGGAAGACTTCTTACCGGTAGTGGCCCCGGACCACACCATCAGGGTTCAACATGGGAATCAGTTTAAAGACGAAGAGGCGACGTAAGGTTTGGGCCCGGGGGTCATCTGGTCGAAGAATGAAGTCCAGAAAGCCGTTGAAGACAAAGCTAGATGGAGTCTCCCCAGGGTGTACCCTACTGCTTAAGAAGAATATCTGAGATGGAGAGGAGAGCACTCATTAGGTCAGTTACTCTATAGTCCTACTCTGACAGTATATGGAGGGTGGAGGGTAGATGAGGCAGGAATAGCCACTGGGTTTCCAGTTGGCTGAATCTGCAAGTGGAGTAGGAGCCTTCACCCTTGCCTCAGGTTGCAGGCTAAGGCTGTGTCCCAGACACCTAGAGATAACATAGCCTTAAGCTATCAACAGTGCCTGGAGCTAGGGGAAGGACAAGGTACTATAGTTTATGCTGTTCCCACTCACCCTCTTGCCTATGAAACGGAATGGCCGGGGGGTGCTGGTATCAGGAAATAGCTGCTCTAGTCGGGGCTCTCGGTCTTCTCGAAGCCCATGGCAGGAACTGACTGTTAGCAGATCTACACGAAGCCCATCCAAAGAATAGCAAAGGACCTCCCGGTGGTAATAGATGGTATCCAGGGGGCTGTAGTGATAAAAATCATTAAGCCAGGAAAATTCCCTAAGTCCTAGCAAGAGGGGGGCTTCATCAAGAAGACCCCAGGATTTGTAGGACCTGACCCTTCACCCTAACCTTTGGGGCCTTAAAATCCCTCATACTGTTAAATGAAGCTAAGGACTTGCTTGGGTCTGCATTGCCAGAATGCAGAGTACAGCACAGGATAAACTTGTTGTTTTTCCCCCAGTTTGTGGCTCCCTAGGATAGACTACTTTGTACAGAAGAGAGACTTGCCCTCTGTTCAGAAAGATAAAAGTGTGCTGAGCAACGGCAATACTGGCTAAATTCTGGTTAATTGATAGAACTGGGATATTAGAAGAAGCTTGAACTGGGCAGGTGGATGAGTAGAGTGTAGGTGGTGGCATGTTGAGGTCAAGGTCACAAAGAAACTTAGTTTTCAAAGGTACCCAAAGCTCCACATCTGCACAGAGAAAAAGACTGATAAGGTTTTAGTTCAGAGTTCTTAGGGCAAGTTCCAGAAGTAGCACAGGTGCTGCATGATCGAGGACTGTGTGATAGGAGTAAGAATGGAATTGGCACCTGCTATGGGTAGGGTGGTTTTCCAGAAAGCGCTGGTCTAGCTGGTTCAGCAAATCCTGGCAGTCACTGTAGGAGAAGGGATAGCAGAAGGCGAAGAAGGTGGTAGCCCCACGGCCTTCCACAAAACGGTGAACAAAGGATAACACAAACTGCGTCTCTGTCATCTGAGAAGCAGAAGAGGAAGAGGGAAGGGCAACATGCCATTGGTGTCAGCACTAAGCTCCTGTTGGGGTCAGCAGGAACCAACCTCACACCCTCCTCATGTTCACTGACTTCCCCTGCTCTGATACTTTCCATATGACAACCAGCACATTCTAGGCTTTCTGAGGCAGGGGCTCATTTTAGACTCCACAATAGAGCTGAAGGGAATGCGAATACCAAAACCTGGTGTCCCTCCTGCCTACTACTCTGTATCAAGGCAAACTCTTCTTTTCCTTCCTCCCTCAACTTCTATAACCCAAGCCTTTCTTGCCTTCTCATGGAGAGCTTACCTCAAATGTCGGCCGGTCTCGAATGCGTTCCCAGCGTGGCCGGGTGGGCATTGTGCGCACAAAGGGAGCCATGCCCTGGGAATACAACTTGCTTTGCTTGTTCATGTTCATAATGTTTATCTTGATGAGTTTCCCTGGAGTTCCTCCCCGGACGCTGAAGTAGAACCATGACCTGAGGGCCAGAGTAGGAGGGACAAGTCATATTATAAGGGAGGGTAGGAGACAGGATATGTGGGAGAGCAGGAGCAAGCCAGACTGGGAAAAGGCTATTTAGTAAGGAAAGGAGGGAGGAGGGGTAGGGAGAGGAAGGGCAGTGTGCAGGTATGAACTGGTAAGTCAAAGGGCTAACAAGAGCATGGATTTGAGGACCTGGACATCCCCTTTTCTTTCTTCTACCCTCCCTTTCTTTCCTCATACCTGTTCCCATTCTCAAATTCTGTTTCAGCACAGTCTGGTCGGGTCCACACGTTGAACTCGTAGTCAGGAGAAGAGGCAATGCTGCTGGTGGGGGCTGATGCCCCACCCCCTACTCCTTCCCCATCACTAGACACAGATTCCACCTTCTCCACATGGGCTAGGTTCCCTGAGTCAAAGCGAGAACTGAACAGCAATCCCCCACAGCGCAACTCCATGGTGGGGCTGGGAAAGCATCCTCCTGCCCCACTCTGGCCCTGAGAGCTGGAGGAAAAAAGGGGTTCGGGGTATGGAGGAGAGGGAAGAAAAATGAAACCAAGTTTTTTGGGTATCTGGATAAATGAGAGCTATTCTTAGGGAGTGCCCTAAGAAGAGGTTACTTATGGAAAAGGCCAAGAGAAAACAGCATTTTGTCCCTCACCCTAAGGGTTATAACTATAACCTATGGGACCACATTTTACTACAGCTTGGCTGTTCCAAAATGAAGTGCTCAGTAGATTAACTATGTTGAGAAATACTAGACTCCAAGCTTCTCTGCAACCCAAAGATTAGCGAATAAGAGAGATCAGATTTCCTAAACTTAGCCAAGATACACCCACCACAACACATGGTCATCTTTAGAGACAGGCCATTCTGGATCTCCATTTCCTAGACTGGCTCTGCCTTTGCAGCGCAGAGCTGAGAAGAACCTAGTTTCTGAGTTTAAACGGGCAGCTGCCTCTCTTCACCCCCCTCCTCAAGTACTGACCAGGCACTCTTCTGTTGCTCCCCTGAGCCCTCCAAGGGCTGGTTCTTCATTTTTAACACTACCCTACACCTATTATGGAAGAAAATCAGAAAAACTGGCCTTTGCCAAGCTAAAGGAAATGGGCAGATGCCACCTGCTCACCTAGCTTAATTCTAGGTCGAGCGTGAATCTATTTCCAACCCCCTCCCACCCTGTAAGCACTGGAGCCCCTCAAAAGCCGCCCGGTAGTGGTGGGTAGGTAACGGGTGTTCTCGGCACCCCAAAAAAAGGGGGGCTGGTAGAGTCCCACTTGGAGGTGTGGGGTGGCTTCTCAACCCTCAGCTCTGGAGGACCCTCACACTGACCGAGCCTGCCCTGGGCAGGGTCGGGTTTGGAGGCATGGGATGAGTCGAGACAGACCTACACCTGAGGGAGGGTACAAAGGCAGGGACTAGGAGGTCAGAAGTGAGGCCACAGGAGGGAGGACACAGCTAGAGGAAAGCCCGGACCGAGGGGCAGGGATGGGCGGGGTCGGCCAGCGGGCCGGGCCTTGGGCAGAGGTGAGGTTCGAGAAGGGATCGGGACTGAAAAGGGCTGAGAAGGGGGCGGGGCCGGGGCTGGCGGGGCCTGCTCTCCGCGCAGAGCCCCTACCTCTCTCCGGCCGGTGATCCCGCTCCCTCTCCCGCTAGCGAGGCGGCACCTCGGGCCCCGGCACCCGGGCCCTCCACCCAGGACCCAAACAAAACCGGAGCGCCGCGGTGCCGGGACCCTGCTCTGCCAGGAAACAAGAAGTCCGCCGCCTATTGGCCATAGATACGGCTGGCTACCTGCCCAGTAAACCTCACTGCCATTGGTCAGAACTCGAGGGTTCCCTCGCACGTTTGTGGGTACCTGGTTAGTACCGTTTGGGGGCTCTGGAGGGCAGACAGGGTGGGAGGATTCTACCCGCGTCTTTCCAGAAGACGGTTAACGGCCTGCCTGCTGGGAGGAGGAAAAGACAAACTGACCGAGAAATAAACTGGAAAAGACTCACCTGTGAAATAAAAAAGCCGTATGAAGTATATTACAAAACACCCTGCCCGCCCGGGTTCAGCGGATCTCTGTCCTAGTATTCAGAAATATTTTCTGTGCCGCGGGTAAAAAAAAAAAAAGAGAACGACTGGAGGATGCGGGCATCGATCCCGCTACCTCTCGCATGCTAAGCGAGCGCTCTACCATTTGAGCTAATCCCCCCGCTGTCATGACCGTTTTTCACTTTGCCTTACAGGTTATGCGGAACTGTCCGCTGACCAGTGGATCAACTGTGATTTAGTAAATTTATCCAGCACAGCGTGGGCAAGATTTTTTAAATCAAGCATACAGCAGCTACACATATGCAATAATAATAAAGCCTTACCATAAAGCACATGTTAAGATACCTCTGCATGTAATACACAAGACAACCGTGCGGCAAGCGGACTATTACTTCATGTTTCTTACCGAATTTCCTCGGTACTCATGTAAATTTACAGCCGGCCTCTAAGTGCAGCTTTCTCCTTAGGTGTAATTGAATTAGGTCAAGGCTAAAAAAAAATGGTTAAAAGGAAAAAAAAAAAAACAAAAGAAAAAGCACGAAGTCCTTCGAGCCGGAATCGAACCAGCGACCTAAGGATTGCCACTAGCTTTAACTCTCTACAGTCCTCCGCTCTACCAACTGAGCTATCGAAGGCCCCGCTTCTCAGCGTTCCTACTACACGCCCTTAATACTTACTGAGGCAGCATTCTTCAAGGCGTTGAGAGATCCCCACTTTCTGCAGAAACAAATCGGGGCCTCATAGACCAGAGGAAACCTCCGATAGAAATGAACGGAAAGGACGCTTCCAACCCTGGACGAAAGAAACACGGGCATAGCGCTTTCCTTCCGTTTCCTTACTTTGTACAAAACAGTACAAATACCCCGTGGCGCTTTCTCTTAAGACTGCGAACGCTTAGAGATCCTGACCACATCCTTAAACTTCTAGGCATCACGTCTCCAGCTGTGTGAGTACTCACACATGCTTCAAAATCGGAACGCGCAAACCCAGTATGCAAAATTGATGGATTATTTTGCTATTTCGGCTCCACACTTTTCCTTCGGTTTCTCCGGGGGTGCCAGTAAAAGGCAACTGCTCTCCTGGTGTGAAGGGCATTCATTTAGTCAGTTAACTAACGTTTCGTGAGTATCTTACCTTTCCTGCCTAGAGCATGAAAGAACCACTGAGCTGCCGGTGGCAAGCAGGGTGGCGCAGGATCCGGCAGCGTCGAAACGCCTGGGATCCCAGGACCGGCCGGCGTCGTCCTGAGGAGAGGCGTTCCTGCCCTCAGAAGTGTGCCCAAGCAGAGAGCATTCCTCAGCGGCAGGCCCGGGGGCGGGCCGGGCGAATTGGTCCTTGCGCCCCCAGAGACCCACGTAGGGGTCGTGGCTGGCTACAGTTCCCGGAGTCCGCCGCCTGGTCTTCGTACTCCCGGGGATATCGTGGGTTCCAGGCAGGATCTTCTGCCTCGTCTGGGGCCCCTCCCCTGCCACTGTGGCTGCCTGGGTGTCTTCTGTGGGGTCATGGCCTAACCCCATAGCTTCACTCACCTCTGCCCCTCTCCTGCTCACACCTTCACCTCTCTTACGCCAGCCCACAATCCGCTCACCAAACGCCGGCAAGTTTTTAAAGCAAACAGAAACAAACTTAAAACCCAGATCCTCTATGGAGCTTTGCCTGCAGTGTGTGCGAAGAGAACCATCCTCCATTTCCAGTTTCGAGGACAAACTGTGCTACCCTGAACGAGCGAGAGAGCGATTGTTTCAAGCCCCTTGCAGCTCCAACATTTTGTGGCTCTGCTCTGCTGAACTTTAAATCCGAGATATCGCTATCATTAAGCACAACATGGCTTTCACCCTTGTGCCCAACCACAAAACATGAGGTTAGCACTTAGAGGCCGGTTTAACTTTTCATTGTGCTGCTGTATATGCTACCATTGTGTCTGAGAGCCTTAGCTTGGGGTAGTTTTCTTGGCAGGGTGATTAGCACTGTGATTCTTTCTTTCTGCTGGAAAGCAGAACATAGTTGTCTATGTTGCTTTTTTTTTTTCCTTTTTTAATTGAGGTAAAATTCACATAGCATGCAATTAATCATTTTAATTCAGTGGTATTTAGTACATTCACAATGTTGTGTAACCACAACCTCTCTCTGGTTTCAAAACTTTTTCATTACCCCAGAAGAACACCCCATACCAGTTATCACTACCTCATCCCTCCCTCCCCCATCTCCTAGCAACCACTAATCTGCATTCTGTCTCTATGGAATTACCTATTATGGATATTTCATATAAATGAAATATAATAAGTGACCCTTTGTGATTGGCTTCTTTCACTTAGCAAATGTTTTTGAGATTTATACGCTTTGCAGCATGGTATCAGTACTTCATTCCTTTTTAAGGCCGAATAATATTTCATTTTATGTATATACCACAATTTATCTATCCACTCATCCGCTGATGGACATCGGGTTTGTTTCCACTTGTGATCATCCTTAGGAACAGGTATTGAGAAAAAGACATTGGCCAGATCAGTAGCTACATACAAGGCACCAGGAGATGTATTAATTTGCTCAAGCAATGGAACCACATCTGGAACTGCAACTGCAATTGGAGTCACCCCCTGGTTAAGTTTACAATGATTCACTGTCATTCTCCAAGATCCATCTGTTTTCTGCACAGGCCAAATAAGCGGGTTGAATGGGGATGTGGTGGGAATCACCACACCTGCATCTTTCAAGTCCTTGATGGTGGCACTAATTTCTGCAAACCCTCCAGGAATGAAGTATTGCTTTTGGTTTACTGTTTTCCTAGTAGGGGCAGTTCTGATGGCTTTCACTTGGCTTTTCCTACCACAATAGCCCCTTAGTCCACATGTCAGGGATCCAGTGTGGTGACTCTGCCAGTTGCTGAGTATGTCTATTCCAATCATGCATTCTGGAACTGGGGAAATAACTACAGGATGGGTTCAGGGACCCACTGGACCCACTGTGATGTGGACCTGAGCTAAGACTCCATTAATAACCTGACCTCCATACACCCCTACTCTGACTGGCAGACCACAGTGGCATTTTGGATCTCCTGCAATTAGTGTCAATTCAGAGCTAACGTCCAGTAATCCCCGAAAAATCTGATTATTCCTTTTCCCCCAATTAACAATCACGCTCATAAAAGGCCATAGATCCCATTGGGTAAGGCTGGAAGAAAAATTAACAGTATAAACTTTTAGCAGTGTGGTGGAGTCCTTCTTTAAGGGGACCCAGCCTCTCCTTCATTTAAGGAGTTGTGGGTCTGTAAACTGGCTCAAGTCTGGGAATTGATTGAGGGGCTGTGACTCTATTTTAACAATTCATGTTAGACTGCCATTCACTTGACCTAGAACTTTTCCACTTATAGACAGCAAGTAAATATTTAGTAGGCTTCACATCTATTTCACTCCTAAGGACACCATGGCTAATTAGCCAACACCGTGAGTCCATGTCAGTCAGACTATTCTGATTACTGCTTTGACTTTGCTGTCCATTAAGGTAACCACACTCACCTTGTCTTCAGTGATTGCCACTACTTGGCCCCTGCCACCCTGTGATCCAATCACCCTCACTGTAGTTAGGTTCCCCAATTTGGTGAGTGCAGTTCCCTCTGTAATATCTGATCTACACAGAAGAGCAATCAAAGCAGTTTTCAAGGATACTGGGATTTCCCTCACAAATTTATTTCTCACAGGTGTGGTGAAAGATGTGTCCTCTAGGCACTCCCTGGGTGAGTGGGTAGGTCTGACATGATAAATTCACTTTAACATTCCAATTTTCCTAAGCCTTTGGATACTTTCTCTACAATATACCAAAGTAGTTCTGGCATTTCAACTTTGTTTAATGTAGGCCACTTCTTTGTCCATGTTTCAGTCAACCAACCAAATAAACTGTTAGGTCCTTTTCTAACCCCTTGAGTTGAAACAGTGAATAAAGAATGTCTGGATTCATATCAATACATTCAGATTGATCCAACTTTGTGTTCCTTGCATCAATATCCCACATTCTTAATAGCCATTCCCAAACATACTCCCCAGATTTCTGTCCGTATACATTAGAAAAATCAAATATTTCTTTTGGAGTGGGGAAGATTTTCTGTCTCCGTCGGTCCTTGTCAGCAGTCTTCCCCTGAATGAGGAGCTTCTCAGTGCAGGGACCCTGGGTCCAAAGGATGTGCTCTTCTCCTGGCATTACTTTCTTGGTGGTATGAGGTCCCCATGTCTCTCTGCTCGCTTCTCTCTTTTATATCTCAAAAGAGATTGGCTTAAGACACAATCCAATCTAGTAGATTGAGTCCTGCCTCATTAGCATAACTGCTGATAATCCCATCTCATCAACATCACAGAGACAGAATTTACAACACATCGGAAAATCACATCAGATGACAAAATGGTGGCCAATCATACAATACTGGGAATCATGGCCTAGCCAAATTGATACAGTTTTGGGTGACACAATTCAATCCATTAACACCTTCTAAAACTCTTCCACAAAATAGGAGGGAACATTTCCTAACTTATTCTATGAGGTCAGTATTACCCTGAGACCAAATCCAAAGATACTTCAAGAAAAGAAAATTATAGACCAAAATCCCTATGAATATAGATGCGAAAATCCTCAACAAAATACTAGCAATCCAAATCCAACAGCACATTTGTTCTTGTTGTTGTTAGGTGCTGTCAAATCAGTTCCGACTCATAGCAACCCTGTGCACAACAGAACGAAACACTGCCAAATCCTGCATCATTCTTACAATGATTGCCATGTTTGAGCCCATTGTTGCAGCCACTGTGTCAATCCATCTCGTTGAGGGTCTTCCTCTTTTTCAATGACCCTCTACTTTGCCAAGCATCCTGATAACATGTCCAGAATACATTCTTGATTCTAAGGAGCATTCTGGCTGTACTTCTTCCCAAACAGATTCGTTCGTTCTTCTGGCAGTCCACAGTATATTAAATATTCTTCGCCAACACCATAATTCAAAGGCATCAATTCTTCTTCAGTCTTCCTAGTCACTGTTCAGCTTTCGCGTGCATGTGAGACAACTGAAAATACCATGGCTTAAGTCAGACGCACCTTAGTCTTGAAAGTGACATCTTTGCTTTTTAACACTCTAAAGAGGTCTTTTGCAGCAGATATGTCCAATGCAATATGTTCTTTGATTTCTTGACTGCTGCTTCCAAGGGCATTGATTGTGAATCCAAGCAAGTGAAATCCTTGACAGCTTCAATATTTTCTCTGTTTATCATGTTGCTTATTGGTACAGTTGTGAGGATTTTTGTTCTCTTTATGTTGAGGTGTAATCCATGCTGAAGGGCTGTATAGTCTTTGATCTTAATCAGTGCTTCAAGTCCTCTTCACTGTCAGCAAGCAAGGTTTTGTCATCTGCATATCGAAGGTTGTTAATGAGTCTTCCTCCAATCCTGACGCCCTGTTCTTCTTCATATAGTCCAGCTTCTCGAACTATTTGCTTAGCATACAGATTAAGTATGGTGAAAGGATACAACCCTGACACACACCTTTCTTGATTTTAAACCACGCTGTATCCCCTTGTTCTTTTCAAATGACTGCCTCTTGGTCCAAGCACAGGTTCCTCAGGAGCACAATTAAGTGTTCTGGAATTCCCATTCTTCGCAATGTTATGCGTAATTTGTTATGATCCACACAGTTGAATGCCTTTTCATAGTCAATAAAACACAAGATAAACATCTTCCTGGTATTCTCTGCCTTCAGCCAAGATCCGTCTGACATCAGCAGTGATATCCCTTGTTCCATGTCCTCTTCTGAATCCGGCTTGAATTTCTGGCAGTTCCCTGTCAATGTACTGCTCCGTTTTTGAATTTTCTTCAGCATAATTTTACTTGCGTGTGATATTAATGATATTGTTCAACAATTTCCATATTCTATCGGCTGGCCTTTCTTTGGAATGGGCACAAATATGGATCTCTTCCAGTTGGTTGGCCAAGTAGCTGTCTTCCAAATTTCTTGGCATAGACGAGTGAGCACTTCCAGCCCTGCATCCGTTTACTGAAATATCTCAATTGGTATAAAGGATAATTTTAAGTACCTATTTAAATTCAACGGCCCTTAGGAGAGATAAGGCATACTAAAATTGCTCAGGCATTACCCAACCATTAAAATTTCTGCGTAATTGGCAACTGGGTTAATCTGGAATAGGGCTGGGCAGGTATGCCTGTCTGCGTGGGAAACACTCCACCCTTGAGGTGGAAGCGTTTTGAGAATGGACTGGCACTGCCACAGGCATGACCCAGCAACATTATCTACATCTATCAGTATTAAGTCAGACTGCCCATTCAGCTACTCCGCTCTAAAACTGAAGCTGTGGATTGGGTACAATTAATCAGAGGAATATGAAAACTTAGTTTATCAGAGAAATATGAAAACTTAGTTTAAGTCTTAGAAAAAAGGAAAGAAGTGTTTCAAAACGAATCATGTGGTATAATTCGCAAGTCCATGTAAGAACTGGTTAAAACTAAAGTTAGTAAGAAATAACCGTACTCAAACTACCCCTCAGTTTTATGGCATGTTGCCTGTTGACCTCCAGCTGTGTGTGAAAAATAAAGTTACAATGTGCAGATGTGCCCGAGGTGTCAGTTTACTTCTGTTCTTCCAACAATAGTGTGACTGCCCTGCCTGTCAGCACAGTCCAAACCAGTTCAGTTTATGGGCTCAACTTCAGCTCCTGCTTGTTGACAGTTCTGCAAAACCGAACCGTCTGGATGGCTGGGTTTACTTTCACGGACAGCCGTGTAGTGCTGGACTACTCCTCTGACAGGAAAAATTCTGGATAATTCCAAATAGAGTCAAACGATTGTGTCTACTAAATTAAGTCAATTAAAGTTACTGTCAGTGTCCCTGTGAGAGGCTGTGGAGACCCATTTAACCTAAATCCCTGAAGAGAAATGTTGCACCCGAGGGCTATTCATGTTAGCAATCAAATGACCCCAACAAGGGAAATACAGTACACACATTAGAAACCAATGTAACACTTGTAAACAGTGTTTTTTGAGCTACAGAATCAGCAGCCTTAGACTTATCATTGTAGGACTGGATGTCATCACTTTACCTGCCCTGTGCTGTTCCCACTCAGGCTCACACCAGCACCCTTCCTTCAACTTGCTGTGAATACAGGCCAGTTACAAGGATTCACGATTGAGGACTGAAGCCATTTGTTCCTGATAAAGAACTGAGGAAATGGAATATGCTGACACCCCTGGACAATCCTGCCTCGCAATTCTAGACCTTGGCCCTTTGCTAGGTGGGGTTTCTTTTCTGGGAAAAACGGCCTGGGTTAGCTGTCACTGTGAAGGCAGGGTTCTGCCCTACATGGGCCGTTCAGTTCCCAAGAGGGAACACATTTATGACTGAACAAGGGAAGGAAAAAAGTGAGATGCTGTGAGCTTCATGACCTCACTTCCTGTCAAGATTTCTCTGTGCTTGCTACTTTGTAATCTCACCCTGGGGAAGGTGAGGAGGAAGTGTCTGTGGCCCACGGGAAAGGAAAAGTGGCAACTGGACATCAATCCTGCAATCATCCTGGGTGTATGTATGACGGAAACAAGCCAGCCTGTGGGAGCAAAGGTGGACAGTGCCTCTGGTATTGCTGATTTTGAAACATTCAAAGAAATGAGGTGAAGTTTGAAAAACCAGTCTCAAGCCAAAAATTACAAGGTTTTGGTGATAAACCCTTCTGATTCATGTCTGTCTCTCAGAGTTCTCAATCTTTCACTCACTTCCTTATGAAATGAACCAATTAAGAAACTCTGGGTCTGGCAAGGAATGGGACTCCCCCTTGATCACTGGCCAAGAATCTCCCCTAGGAGACTCCCTCCTGCTTTTCCCAGCATAAAATCCTCAAGCTATCAAGGCAAATGTTGGGGCATGACTCTCAAGGACAAGTGAGACACGATTAGGGCAACAAAAGGAACCCCTACAGGTCAAACTTTAGAATGACGGATTTTGGCTTTCCCTGCAGAAGCTCAATTACAGCTAGTGGCTACAACTCCCAGCAGGGCACGGGGCCAAAGAACACCTAGGGGGCCAACATTCTGTTGTCCTGTCCCACAGCTACGGGAATCAACTATACGAGGACGCAGAGAGGAAATCTAAAAATCAAATCTGTGTCCTTTATTCCACCTAGTAAGCATACCCAAGAGCCATAGATTAAACTGTCTCAACAGGCTGCTGGAAGGAAGGTTCCCTGGCCTGGGGCATACAACTACCCTGCTTTCCTGGCAGGTGGTGGGGCAGTGGAGAGAAGCTGAGCCCTGAGGCAGAGCCCCCAGCACTGAAAGGAAATGGTAAGTTGAGGAAGTAGAACCATGATGGAATGGGACAGCGAGAGGCCTGGAAGGGCAGAGGTTGGGCATTTTGACGTTGAAAGGCATTTCCACCCAGCCCCGCGTGTCCACTGACAGCCACACCCACACTGCATATAGAGGTGAAACTGCTATTGCCCTCGGTGGTCCTATATTCTTCTGGAAGTCCCTTTCCTTTTTTCTCTGTGGCTAAAGTTGTAACCAAGATGAATCACAGACTGCTGAAGTCTGGGGGCAGGAACCATTCGTCAGAAGGATGCAGAAGCCACTCTCTGGCAGTCCCATCTTCACGGAGGTGAGCAATTTGGGGCTTTAGGAATGAGATGGAGAGAAGCAGAGAGGAGGAGACGAGAGGCTGCCAGCCCAAGGACAGAGGCTGGGAGCTGTGTGTAACAGGGCCACAGAAGTGTTCAGTGAAATCCTAGGTAGGAGCTGAGACACCCCTGGCTCAGTTCCCATCAGAGATGGAAGAACTGGGGCAGAGGCAACTGGCCACTCAGGCACCAAGTGAAAAACACCCCCATGCAGAAGTGTCATTTACATGGCAGTCCTCCTACACCCAGCAGTCTCAGATGGTCTGCCCAAGACGGAAGCAAGTGGCCAGGGAGGCTGGGCCTATTGCTGCGATATCATGGCAAGTGCCCAGTCCAAGAAAGCCACTGTGATGTCCTGTAGGTAGGTCCAGGTCCACTGGGCAGCCTCACTGAGCTGTGTCTTCATGCAGTCCCAGGTCACCTCACCTCTGAGGAAAGCACAGTTTTAGGGGTTGAGGAAGTGTGCAGCTCTCTTAAGTCACAGGACTGCAGCTCAGAGCCACAAACCTCATCCCAGAGGGCTCAAGGGGACAATGGGGCAGAGTAGAGCCTGAACAGAGGAGCCCTGTTCCTGGGGAAAGGGAGTGTGGCCACCAGGGGTCCTGCCAGGAGCCCTGGGGGGGGACTCACCTGCACGCCTTGTGGCAGTGCTCCTGGGCCCGGGCCAGGCCCTCAAGCAGCAGGTGCCACAGAGGCAGCAGCACATTCTGGTAGAGAAGCAGCAACAGCTCCGTCAGAGAATGGAGCAGCTGGCTCAAAGCATCTGGGAGCTGGGTCTGTATCTGGGCCATGGAGGATGGAGCGGGTTAGAGCACACAGGGGAACGCACCCTGGCACTAAGGGCCAGTCCACGTGGGCTGCATATTCCCTACAGCTCTGCCCCTGGGAAGACCGGGCCTTCTGTGACCTCCTGTCTCTGGCTTACCCTCTGGGCGAGGCTGGTGAGGCCATTACCAAACCAGGCAAGGTGGGAGGCACAGTGGGCAGAAAGAAAGCTGACTGTGGCGTTGGTGTGCGTCCAGGCCAGCTGCAAGCTGGGCCTTGCCATGGTAAACAGGTGGGAGCTCCAGGTCAGCAATGTTTCCTCTAGCCAGCTGCAGGAGAGACGGAGGAGATGGGGCTCTGTGTTTCCTCAGGGCAGCTTGGCTCCCAAACAATAGTTGGGGAAAGGGAGGGAATGGGAAAGGAACGCCACCCACTCCCACTGACTCCATCAATGCCTCCGCCAGCCACGTCACCACCCGTGGGCCCCGGCCTTCTCTCTCACCTCCTCACCCCCCGCCCCTGGGAGGAGCTCACCTGTAGCCTTGCAGGCTGTAGGAGTACAGCTTGGCACATGCTTGTTGGCCAGCAGGCAAGAAGCCAGATGATTGAAGCAACCGGCCAGAAAGGGAGGCTGAGTAAAGGGGCCTCTAGTGAGTGGAGATGTGAGTGGGGCCGAGCAGGCGGGGGGGAGTGGAAAGGTCTCGGCATGCTCACAGGGCACAGAGTATGTGCAGAACTGCGCTCACCTTTCCTGCTGGGCCAAGTGAGCAGGAGGAGAGCAGCCCAGTGGAGTCCTGGGCTTAGGCCTCAGGAAGCCTGGGGTTTGAGGGTCTGCCCTTCCACTAACCAGCTCTAATCTTAAGCTCACTGCTCTCTGAGCCTCAGTTTCCTCAGGAGTTAAAAGAAGATAACACCTACTCAAATAAGCCTGTGAATACGTAAGCACGTCTACACTGTAAATTACCAGTCCACTCTTAAGGGGTCATGTCATAGCTCAATGTCACAACAGAAAAATCCGTCTGAAAAGAGTTTAGTCAGTAGTACTGACACCCCATCGGGGCACAGGTGTGTGGGTGTGTGTGGGGTGCTACTAGTTACACCGAACTCTGTGCCCCACCCCACTCCACCCCATGCTATCTTCCTCGCTTGCCAATCCTGCTTACCCTGGAAAGAGCTGTGTGACCGGAAGTCATGGCACAGGAAACCTACAGCAAACACCAGTACCAACAGGAGCAGCCGTGTCCAGGGCAGCCGAGGGCCCCAAGCCTGCTGCAGCAAAGCCTGGGAGAAGACAGGGTGGGCAACGGTGGTCAGAGGGAAAGGGGCTGGTCCTGGCCCCTGAAGGCAGGCCTTAAGCTAGGCCTTTCAGGAAGAAGGTCAAGTGCTTCCAAAGTAGCAGGAGGCTTCAGGGACAGGTAGGGCAGGAGTGTGACACAGGCCCAACCCAGGGTATGCCCAGTGGTGTGAGGGCTGGGAGGGGTGCCCGCACCTTGCAGGCAGCTTCACAGGTGATGACATCCTGGTTGTTGCTGGTGCTCTTCCTTAGCAGGTCCTGGTTGGTAAGCCTGAAGGACTGAATGGTTTCCTGCAAAGACTTCCACACCTACAGGATGAGAAATGTCTGGGCTGAGAACATAGTATCTGGTCCTTGTGAGATCCTGAGCCTCCATCCACATCATTTTCCACATCGAGTGCACTATAACAGGGCACCCTTCTCAGGGAAGCTCGGAAGCTTGGACAGTGGCTGAGTGGTTCAAAGCCAGAACCCAGACAAGGCTCAGCTGCCATGTCCTCCCAGCCCCTCACCTTCTTGGGAATCCGCTCCTGGGACTTGAGCAAGTGGTCCAGCAGCAGGCTGTGGGGAAAGCACAGCCCTGCCAGTCAGGTGGCTCTCTGGGCCTCCCCTGTCCTCTGTCCTAATTAAGCCCTGGCTCTTTTAGACTAAAGACCACCCACCCCCATCCAACAAAGCAGCAGCTGGCTAGAGTTCACCTCAGCCATGTTCCAACTCATCCTGAGAGCCTGAGGAACAGTGACAAATGGCCCCTTTCTGCTTCTGGGCAGGGACAGGTCAGGCTCAGGCTGAGAAGCATGAACCTAGGTGTCTGTGTGGAGCAGAGGCGGGCCACCCCCACCCCACCTGCCTGGAGTGTAAAAGGTGCTTGGGGTACAGCTGCCTCCAGACGCTGGCGCTGAGGGGGTCCACAGTTAGGCACTCAGTCAGGCTGCTCAGGAGCTGCACAGGGGACAGAAGGGAGAGCCCAATGGGGGCAGGGGCTGGTGGAGGGGGAGTGCTGAGGCAACCCCTCCCCCCCAGGTAATGCATCCACTCTAAAGGGTGGAGAAATAATGCCAACAGCTGTCCTAGAAGGCTCTCTGAGAGGCTGGAGCTCCTGAGCTAGAGACTGAGCTCAAACATTGCCCATTTCTAAGGGCCAGGGCATCAGAGACCCCCAGGCCTGAAGGTGGTGCCCCTTCAGGCGCATTTTTCTCAGGGTGGAGCACGAGTGAGTGGGGCCAGGCTGCCAGGAGGAGCTAAGGGTTCCCGTGAAGGCAGCACACAGGGACCTCTGCAGCTGACCCCGGGAAGGAAGGAGCCTCGGACCATTTCCTCACCTCTTTTCTCATCTCAGGGGTACAGCTAGGGGTGGCTCTGGACAGGAAGGAGGGGAAATAGGTATGTAGGGTGGCTTCTGGCTTCGCTCCAAATGCCAGCACCTTCAGTCGGGGGTAGAGCTGACACAGATGCTCCTGCAGGCTGGGGTGGTGGGGAGAGAGAGCCAGGCACAGGCTGTTAAGTGGGGCTGTGCCATGTTTCCCTTTGCCTGCCTCAGAGTTCATGCCCCTGCCCAAGGGGAGAGTCGCCAAGGGCCTTGTAATGACTCTCAGCCTATTTAGACTCAGAGACTCCCTGCAAAATCTGTCGAAAGCCACAGAGCCTCCCCAAGAAAAATGCCCAAATGCCAATCACACTCAAATGGCCTTATAATTTCAGGGAGTTCACTGATGAAGTTAAGCATCTGAGATCTCAGGTGGCTGTGGGAGAAGGGATGCAGGCATGTGCCTTGCCCTGCCCCTCTGCTTGGTGCTGTCACTGCAGTTGTGTCCAGTCTGCCCTACCTGGGCGTCAGGGAGTTGTTAGGCATATAGGCAAAGTCCAGAAGTGGGAAGAAGTCCTTGGGGCCAATCATGCCAAAGCCCTTGGTGAGGTTGGGGTGCATCCTGTGGGGGAAGGACAGGACAGGTTTGTTGGAAACCAACACCCAGGCCAGATGTTTTGGCCATGACCCCAGCAAAGACCAACATCCAGGAAAAAAAGCATTATTTTCACTCCAGCCCATCTCCCTACCCATCAATGGCTCCGTTATGGACTGAATTGTGTCCCCCCCAAAATGTGTTGTAAATTCCTAACCTCCATGCCTGTGGTTGGGGCCCTGGTAGTGTGGTGGTTAAGAGCTTGGCTGCTAACCAAAAGGTTGGCAGTTCGAATCCACCAGTCTCTCCTTGGAGACCCCATGGGGCAGTTCTACTCTGTCCTATAGAGTCACAATTCACCAAGGGCCTTGGTTTTTTTTTATTCCTGTGGTTATAATCCCATTTGGGAATGGGCTGTCTCTGTTATGTTAATGAGACACCATTAGTGTAGGGTGTGTCTTGAGTCAATCTCTTCTGAGACGTAAAGGAAATTAAAGCAAGACACATGGGGTAAGATAGACGCCAAGACACAGGGAGATCTCCAAGGAACCAGGAAGCAGAAGCTGAAGAGACAAGGACCTTCCTCCAGAGCTGAGAAAGCCTTCCCCTAGAGCCGCACTCTGAATTTGAACTTCTTGCCTCCTAAACCGTGAGAAAATAAATTTGTTTGTTAAAGCCACCCACTTGTGGTATTTCTGTTATAGCAGCACTAGATAAGTGACACCCTCCCTTTCCTTCCTCACAGTCACATTGTGAGTTGGGAGGACCTGGTCCTGATTTCACCCCACATCTATGGAGACCAGGACCACAGCATCCCATTTCGTGGAAACAGCCACCGGTAGACACCATGGCCCTCCGCCTGCTGCCCCGTTACTTACAGGAGCAGCCGATCCAGGTATGCGATGGCGAAGGGAGACAGCGACTTGATGCCCAGCACAGGCATCATGATTCCCAGCCACACTGCAGACAGATGTCAGGGAGGCAGCCTTAGGCTTGGGCCCACTGGGGAAACCAAGAGGAGATTCCTGGCTCCAAGACCATCCCTTTCCTCCCCACTTCCTTGTTACCTTTCAGTCCCTCGGTGAGGCTGGCAAAACCCGCTTGACCTATGGCCCACATGATGGTCAGACACTTTGCTGGTCGGCTCTGGTGGGACCTTAACAGCTCCAGGAACTGTGGGACCAGTGGGGGAGGCAGGCTGTGATAAAGCAAAGCACCAGGAGCACCTCCACAGCCAGCTGGGAAGAGAGATGTCAACTGGGAGAGAAGGGGCTGGCCAAGGGATAGTGGAGCACTGCAGTAGAGTGGTGTAGGGATTCAGACCACTGGCCTGTGGCCTTCATCCATGCTGCTGCTTACTTGTTGACCAAAGGTAGGGAAGTTACTGAACCCCTCTGTGGCTCAGTCTTCCCATCTGTAAAACGGGAATAGTAGTGGTACCTGTCTCATATACGTATATAAAGCAGACACACAATAAGTCCTATTATTACTGGTCTTTCCAGGTCTTCTACTATTCCATAACTGAGTCTAGCAGTGTGGAATCTGCCCAGCCTTCCCAGTCCTAGCATCCTGGTTTCCCCATCACCACCTTGAGCTCACCTTTCCCAGGTTTGTGGTGGCAATCTTGGGCTTTTCTTGCAGTATGGCCTGGATACAGATGCGGTAACCATGTAGTGACTCCCCTGGAGAGATACATGCTCTCAGCCATACGCACACTACTCAGCATCCCAAAGTGGAAACTTCCCTTTTGGCAGTTGTGAGGCCAGAATCCAGGCCCAATGAGCCCTAAATTAGTATATTTCTCTGCTGGAAACAGAATCACTCAACCACTCTGGAAGCAGGAGAAAGGGAATGGGCTCCTAAGACAGGGCGGGGTTATCCCTCCCTGGCCCCTTACCTGGTGTCTTATCCAGCTCTTGCAGCATGGTGAACAGACAGTGGTCAAAAAAGAGCTCCAGAGACCCTGCAGCCTTCGCCAGAAGCCCCCGGATGATCCCGCGTAGCTCCCGGCTCACCAGGCTGTATGGATAATCTGTGGCCGAAAGGCTCCACGTGAGCGCCAAGACCAGAAGCCCCAGGCAGCTCTGAGAGCTACGGTGCATCCTCTGAGTGGAAACAGAGGTCTCTGCTCTGAGGCTGGATTCCTCCCTATCCCAACGAGGCCATGGACCTTCAAAGCCACGATGATTTGAGAATAGCTCAAATCATCCTCTGGGTACATACAACAGGAGGGTGGGGGGCACTGGGCTCTGTTACGAACTAATGTGCTTATACACGGCCCTTTCAGAATTTTCTTGAACTTTTATGAGCTTGAGGGAGTTGGAAAGACTAACCGTGAGTGTGCTGGCTTAACGTGGGCTCACTTAGAGGAGCTTGTAGCTTGTAGTTGAGATAGCTGGCCAGGTCCTTCAACCACACGGATGGGTTCCCAGAGAACATGCTCTGGCTCTTGTCCAGCTCCTTCTGCAGAGCTGCCACGTCCAGCTGCCACGGACACAGTCCCCTTGTCGTGAGTTATAAGGGCCAGGGAAAGGGAGTAGGGGTGGGAAAATTATCGAACTAGGTGGTGGTAGGAAGAACAACGGGCTTTCTGCTTTTAAACATAAGCGTGTGAATGCCACAATTTTGCTGATCCAGCTCTTTAAAAAGCATTGTATAGGACTGCTGGGATTGCTGCTGTCAAGGCCCTTCACACGTTCAAGGGGGAGAAAGAGAGGACAGGATGGAAATGAAAGATCACTGCTTCCATGGGGCAGGGAACAACTGGTTTCTCTATCCCCTCCCTGGTGTTCCTGGGCCTTCAAGGCTTCCCTCTCACCACTGTTTTCCTATAAACTTCTTTCTGTTCTAAGTGTAAGCATTCTATTCCCTTGGGATTTCCATCATTTCCTGAGCTCCTCCTCTCACCTAGTGTCCCTCTTCCCCTTCTTTCATCTTCTCTACACCTGAAGGCCCCATCTTTCCCGCCTGAAGTCTAGGCACACTCACAGCTTTCAGTGCTGCCTCCAAGCTGCGGAAGCGGCCCTGCTTCTGGTTTTGGTTAGTGGTGGTTGACACCTTCTTAGGTTGCTTCTTGTTCCCTGGTTTCTTAGGTTCCACAGCAGGGGGTGGAACCTGCTCCTTGTTCTGCTGCTTCATGATTTTCTCAAAGCCCAACTCATAAAGGGTACTTGTCGTCTGGATTGCAGCTAAGGTAAAGACAGGCAGAAAAGGGGGCCAAGTTTAGGTCTAAAACACCTCACAGAAACAGGGGACCCTTCTCTCTTCCAGGGAGGAGCCTGCCTCAAGGCCCCTTCCTGCTCTACTGCTGGTGGGTTCTTCCAGTCATCACAGCTCCTGAGTTCACGGGCTCTTTCACAGAGATGGCGTATTTCTCCATTAGACCTATTAGAGTATGTGAGAACTAGCAGCAGGGTCAGATACAGAGGACTGACTTCTTTAGTGAGTGGCTACTAGCCAGGGAGGTCAGGATTTTTCCATCCTGGTTCTACCCTAATTCCTGTGAGTTCAGATGTGACAACTCTATAATAAAACAAGTGGCAAGCTTTCTCACTCCTCTGGGAGACTGAGAAAACAGGTGCCATACAGAATACTTGGTGGGTGTTGAGTGGGGGCGGGTCATTTCTCTCACTGTGGGCCTCCTGCCCCTCCTTGCTCCTCACCGGCTGGCTACTTTATGAGGGGGCACCTGTATAATGAACCAGGATGCCTCTTCCCAGCTCTCAGACACCGGCCGGGAGAGGCCACGCTAGAAGACCCCAGAACAGCTGGTAGGATTTGTGTGCAGTGCACTGAGTGTCTGAAGACCCGAATCTGCGCCCCCTCTGACATGTAATCCTAGGCAAGGCAACTAATTTAATTGGGCCTCAGTTTACTCGTCTGTGAGGTGAGGGCAGCAACCTCTTCTTGCGCTACCTCTCGTGAGGCTCAAAAGAGACAACGCAAAAATAGCATTTGGTGAACCGGGAGATGCTAGTCACCACGAGGGCGCGCTCCGCGAATAAGCCGGGGGTGTTTTGACCCTCTGGGCTCCAGCAGCTGCTCGCACCACACTGGAGGGGAGGCCTGGGGTCCGGCGGCGGCGCGCCGGCTGCCCGCGGCAGGGTCGCTGCGGTGGCACTGGCGGCGGGGCGGGTACTCACGGGTCAGGTCGAATTTCCACACTCCGTTCGCCTCCCCGAGTGCCCGGCGATCCCCTCTGCCGCCGCCTTTATTATTGCCGCCGGCCGCAGGCCGTCGCCCCTTCTTCACTACCTCCCAGCGACCCCCACCCAACGTCCTGGCAGCCATGGCTCCAACCCTTCCTGCCACCGCCTCTTCCCTCGGCTTTCCGGTCTGGCGCGGACACGCCACGCTCTGCCACGTCTCCTCGCAGGTCCTTGCTGCGCGTGACGCCAACCGCAAGGCAGCCTGGGACTTGTAGTCTTTCGCTTTTGCCGGGTTGTCCCTGGCCAGGAGCTTGGTGGGGTGTCAGCGGCTCCTTGGTAGCAAGCGTCCGGCCTCTGCCCAGGCAAAGATATTGGCATGAGAGGCAATTAAATTCAGAAAACTTTTATTTATTGGGTACCTACTGTGTGAAGACCACCGCATTGGGTGTCTTGGTGGACACAGACACAGGGACACAGGGGGAGACGGCCTCTTTGCCCTCTCCCTCTCTGTGACCCAGTTGGGGAGACAGACGCAAGCAACTCACCCTTGGAGCTGACAAATGTTCAGACTGTTCTAACAGGGAAATTTAACTGTTTTTTTTTTTTTCTTTTTTTCTCTGCTTTCCAGTACTGCCAGAAGGATGGAATGGAAATATTTCTCACCCCAGGGAGAGCTTGAAGATCAAATGTTTCCTTCATTCTAGGAACATGCTGGTTTTTAGGTTGCTAGTGAGAAGACTTTGGGTTTAGTGGGCTATGAAAATCCATCGTGAAAGAAAAAGGGAGAGAATGAGACTGAGGGAAGAGGCAGAGTGTTTGGAGGGCAGGAGGTGGGGCATGCAGAGTCCCTCTGTTAAGAAGCAGAGAAACATTTGGGTGTCTGGAACAACTAGGGCTGGGTTTCCCGTTCCAGACAACGGGGAAGAAACGGCTCTGGCTCCTACCCCCACGCAAAAGTCAATCCCAAATTGCAGATGTGGCAAGGAAGTGGTAGAGAGCCTCAGACCTGAGGAACCATGTAGACAGGTTGCTGCTCAGACATCCCTTATCCCTGAAGGGCCTCCCCTCATGCTTTTAGTATGTGAGGCTCCAGAACTTTTGAGCATCCCAGCAGGGGAAGATGAGGGAAGATGAAAGTGATTTATCACAAATAAGGACATGTGCTATTTCTTGTACACCTACATTTGAGGATGAGATGCGTACCTGCCACACTGACGCACAAGACGGACCGGTTCTTATGGTAAGAACAGTAATACAGTCCAAATTCCTATAGGATGAACAGCTGAGGGAATCATGAATTCCTTAGGAAGGAAATCAGAGAAGCTTTCCTGAAGGAGATGGCCTTTGAGATGGATCCTGAGGGATGAGAGAATTTTCAGCAGTTGGGGATCAGAGTGGGTGGAGAGAACACTCCAGGGTATAGGCCTACTGATTTAAGCAAAGGCCTAGAGTTGGGAAACGGCAAGGCAAGTCTGGGAAACTGGAAGTAGTTCAGTGTGACAGTGCTTAATGGGAGTTAGGAGGAGATGAGATTGGAAAGGGATCTGAGACCATATGTGGAAAGCCTTACCTGACAAGCCAAGGAGTTTGGACCTTACCCTCCAGACCCTGGGAAGCCAGTGGGAAATGGCACAATACACTGTTTTGGAAACGTAAATGGGGCTTTGTGGAGGATGGGTTGGGGACGGGTAAAGGCAGGAGGCAGGAGATGACCAGGTCTTGCTGCCTCCTTCTGCCTGTCCTCCAGCCCCTTCAGGCCTGTCCATGGCTGACTTTGCCTCAGGTAGCTATGAGACAGCTTCTGCCAAGGTCTGTATTTGAGCTGATCATTAATCAATTAATTTTTCAGTTCATTGGTTTAGCTTTACTCAGAGACCAACAGCAATATCCCTTCCGTGCTCTACCGCTTCTGTGTCACACGTATGGTCACTGAAGAGAGCCTGTTTTCAGAAGAAAAACAGAACTGGCTCTCCATCGAGCAAAATAGTGGGCTGCCCCATGATGGAGACACAAAGAAGGTGGGTGAGGCTTTCTTTTCTATCTTTCATTGGAATAGTCTGGCAGGTTATCTGTTGTGACTTGGCATCTAGGGGATGAAAGTCATTCATTTACGTATCCAGCAACATTTCCTAAGTACCTTCTCTGTGTCAGGTACTGGGCTAGGTGAGTTGGGTGACACACCTCTTGCTCCTGAGGAACTGATGCCTGTGTGTGAGACGAAGGTGTAAACAGAAAATTATAACTCACCATCTAAGTGTTCCAGAGGAAAGATACATTCATATGAATTACTAGGAAGGGAGGGAGGAGAGGAGGGGGAATGGCTGAGCTCTGGGTGTTGAAAGAGCAGCCTTAGGTACCGACCACAGAGGTGGGCCTGGGCAGTTACCCACATGGGGTTTGAGGGAAGAATTGACAGATGTTGGGTCAAGGAGGACAGGTGGATGTCTAGTTGGGTGCAAGAAGGGGTGAGCTCACTGAAGCGCAGTTTTATCTACTGGACTAGTTTTCTATGGCCGCTGTAACAAATCACCACAAACCAGTGACTTAAAACAACACAAATTTATTATCTTACATTCTGTAGGTTAGAAGTCTGACGTGGGTCTTACTGCGCTAAAAACAAGGTATTGGCAGGGCTGTGTTCCTTTCTGGATGTCTAGAACAGAATCCATTTCCTTGCCTTTTCCAGCTTCTAGAGGCTACAAGCATTCCTTGGCTTTTGGCCTCCTTCCTTCTTCAAAGCCAGCAATGGTGGATTGAGTCCTTTTCACATGGCATCAGTCCAACCTACTCTTCTGCCTCCCTCTTCCACTTTTGTGTACCCCTGTTGGTGCAGTGGTTAAGAACTTGGCTGCTAACCAAAAGGTCAGCAGTTTGAATCCACCAGCCACTCCCTGGAAACCATATGGGGCAGTTCTACACTATGAGTTGGAAGTGACTTGATAGCAATAGGTTTGGTTGGTGGTGCGGTGATTAAGTGCTTTGCTGCTAACCGAAAGGTCCGCAGTTTGAACCCACCAGCCACGCCGTGGGAGAAAGATGTGG